AGCAAGCACAACTAAACAAACAACTACCGCAACATCAGCAAACTTTACAACAGCAACAAATGTTTCAGCAACAAAAAATGTTGCAACAACAACAACAAAGGCAGACTACGTCCAGTTTTTCGAGCAACATTACACCAACACAACATCAACAGGTTAGTTCTTTTGTTTGTTTGCTGCTCTTTTTTTGTTGTTTTCATTTTTTGCCATTTTGATTCATTTTTTTATGTAAAAATTTTATAAAGTTAATTTAATATGCAATGTATGCTTTGTTATCTATGTATGGTTAGATCGTTTCAAACATAACTATGTCTGTACATTTTTTTTGTTACATATTGGTTGATTCAATTTTTCTGTAATTTCTTTATTGTTTTGACTTTATAATTCAACTTTACTTCTTAGATTCATTTTCTTGTATTTAATATTCATGTATTTAAATTAGGCTTAATCGCAACGTTTTCCAACCAATCACAGCTCTGTACTCTACAACAGCAACCGCAACAACAACTGCTGCAGTCTCACAACCAGTACTTCAGACAAGATCAACAACAGCATCAACAACAACAGCATCAACAGCAACAACAACAACAACAATACTTTCAACAGCAACAAAAACAACAGCAATCAACTATTGATAAACCACAAATACACATTGCTAGAGGTGTGTGTGCGTGTGTGTGTGTGTGCGTGCGTGCGTGTGTGTGGGTGTGAAATAATTTTATAATTTTCGAGTTAATAAAATCTTCATCCCTTAATATATAGGTCCTTTAGCGAAATATCACCAGCCGCCACAACAGCAGCCACAGCAGCAGCCACAACTACCAAACATGCAACAGCCACAACAACCTTTGGTTATTCAGCAGCCATATTTGCAACAGCAACTACAGCAGCCTCATCAACATTCACCTAGTCAATTTTATAACCCATACAAGTATTTAGCTTGCTCTTTATAATTACAATAATAATAATAATGATGATAATATTAATAATTATTGTACTTTTAATAAAGTTTTTATTTATTATTAATTTATTTTGTTATTAATGGATTTTATGTTTTGTTATTTTTATTTATTTAGTTTAATTAATATAAATTTGTTTATCTGCATGAAACTGAAAAGCAGCTCGTCGAATGTTCATGAGCCAGAGAGTTTGGGTTGGTTCATGTTACTTCTTTAATGTCTAAGAATGCCTTGTCAGTAATTTATGATCACCATTTTTGTCATCATTGCCACAAAAACTGTCATAAACATATCTACCGCCGTCGTCATCATCATCATTATCATCATCATCATCATCACAATCCTCCATCAACATAGTGACGTTTATCATTATCAGCACTATCTTAATCATCATCAGCGCTATCGCAATCATCACCATACTCATCGTCTTCTTTCTCCTCGTCCTCCTCCTCATCATCATCAGATTCGTCGTTGGGAATGTACCAGCAGCAACAACAGCAGCCGACAAGATCAGCTGGAGCATGGAACGACCCACCACCGCTTGTTAATAGCGAGCCGAAGAAGGTTGGGCTGATGGGTTGATTGATTGGCTTGGTTGGTTAGTTGATTGGTTTGTTGGTTTGTTGATTGATTGATTGATTGATTGATTGATTGATTGATTGATTGATTGATTGATTGATTGATTGATTGATTGATTGATTGATTGATTGATTGATTGATTGATTGATTGATTGGTTGGTTGGTTGATTGATTGATTGATTGATTTATTGATTGATCAAATGGGTAAATGAATGAATGAATGAGTGAATGAATGAATGAATGAATGAATGAATGAATGAATGAATGAATGAATAAATGAATGAATGACTAAACTTACTGGTGAATAAACGTTTCAACCAATCAGAAAGAGCCAGTCGTAACGCCTTATGCAGGCCTTTTATACAATCCGCAAGAGTATCAACCGCAACAACTGCATCCGCATCAGCAGAGTTATTTTCAACCACAACAACAACATCAGCAACAACAACATCAACAGTCTCAGCAGCAGCAGCAACAACAACATCAATACACTCAGCAACAACAGCAAGTTTACCAGAATAATGTCCTCTATAATGATGATGTATGTTTCTGGTTTTCACTACCTTGCTTATAAATAAACTCCATCATCTTCATTCACTCACCTCATCATTTCGTCAAATGCCAGTGTCATTTTAATGGTCACATTCATTTGTTCATCATCCCCATCATCATCATCATTTGCATCAACACACGCCAGCAACAACAGCAAGAGAGCCAGAGATCGAATTCATTGAGTCAGGAGTTGAAGCCACTACCAGAGGAACATAAGGTCATCAAGGAGGTCTTCGATCAACTCCTGCAGTACTGCTCAACTAAGGCTAATAATATGGTCGGTTGGTTGATTGATTTTGTAGTTGGCTGGCTGACTGGCTGGTTGATTGTGATTGATTGATTGGTTAATTGATTGTAATTGGTGATTGGTTGGTTGGTTGGTTGGATGACGACGCGGAGAATATTACAAAATTTCCAGGCCACCAAGAAGAAGTTGGAAGACGTTGAGAGGAAGATGAGCAGCATGTATCAGATGATTGCAGACTCAAAGGTACGTTGGTATTTGATCGGCAACTTATGTAAAGCTAAATTTGTTTGCGTGCTCTGTACACTGTTCAGTGAGTGTGTGTTGTACAAATAGACTCTTACACAAGAATACAAATACAAATACTCATACAAATACCAGTTATCAGGTCCTATCGTTTCGGGTATACATCAGATAGTACAGTGCGTGCAAATGCGCGATTATAACATGGCCCTTCAGTACCATTCACAGATTGTTAACATGGGCAGTTTCAGTGAGATAAGCAGTTTTGGGCCTAGTGTTAAGGTATTTATTTTCTCTGCGTGTGTGTGTTTGTTTGTGTGTGGTGTGTGTGTGTGTTTCTGTTTATGTATGTATGGAGTGTTTACGTATGTGTGTTTGTATGTTTGTTTGTATGTATGTAATTTTCATAATCATAATTTTAATCATTTTCAATCATTTTCTGACAGGTCCTTTTACAGACAGCCAGCCAGCTACAAGTCTATCTCTGATTAATTATTATTATTGTTGTTGTTGTTGTTGTTATTGTTATTGCTAATAATATTATTGTTAATTGTATAATAATAATCGTAATTATTCGAGCTGGTTTGATTACCGTTTGCCTGTCTGTCTGTCTGTCTGTTTGTTCTAAACGCAGATGATTGAATGAATTCTCTCTACTCAATTGTAATTATTATTATTGTTATTGTTGTTATTTTATTATTATTATTATTATTATTATTATTCTATTTGTTCATATTCTTTCGTGTTCTTCGTCTGATATGATTTTACTTCATAACGCCTGCGTTTTGGCTTTGTTCCGCCGATATTTTCAATGAAAAATAATAATAAAAATAATTTTTACGTAATAATAATAATAATAATTTTTTTTATGTTTTTTTCTATCTAACAACAAATGGCTAATTTGTTGAGGATGATTAGAGCGTTTTCATCAGATCTTCTTTAATACAAGCTATATATATATATATATATTAAAATATAATTAGTTATTACTATTATTTTTGTTTATTATTATTATTATTATTTCACTGATTTATTTAGCGCTTTATGGAAAACATTAGTTGCTAAGTAATAGTTCTTTCACTTCACCTGCTAATGATTAAATTAATTCATCAGTTAATTGAAATAATGATGGCTGAAATTGGAGGAGTGCCTGTTATATTTACTTACTGAGTAATATCGCGATGGCTTGGCTTTTAAGATGCTGGGCAAACCTCAGAAAGTTATATTCTTAATTGTGTGTGTGTACGTATGCGTGTGTACGTGTGTGTGTGTTCGTGTGTGTGACTTTGTGTCTTTAGTACGCGCTTGTGAAAGCTCTGTGTGATGATTTTAATACAATTTTGATAAATTTAAAGTTACACTTGTATTTAACCATACATCAATTGATTCAATAGCATTATTTGTATGATGAATTTGTTCGTTTAATTTTATAAATTTAGGCATTGTACAGTTACAATTATTACTTCTTATGTTGTTGTTATTATTATTAATATTATTATTACTCCTGTAGCAAATGATGACTTATTTATGTTAATCAGATGTTAATTGCATGCTATTTTCATGTTAATTGTATGCAAATCACGTAGCATCAACTTTAGAAGCGTGTGTCTCAATTGGACATCGTAAATGTTTTTGAAAATATGAAACAGTAGTTGAGATGTTGAAATGACACTTTAAACTATTTGAAAAATTTTTTTTATTTGTTTGTTTATTATTGTTAATATTATTATTGGTGTTATTTTAATTACTACTCTAACTATTAATTACTAATTATAATTGTTAGATTTATGTATTTATTATATATCTACTTAAACAAATTCAATAATAAATTATATTAAACGCTTAATTTATTATATGATTTATGTTAATTTTATTTATGTACTTAATAAACATTAATACAGTTATTAATTCGTGCTATTATCTCATTTATCATTATTAATATTATTTTTATTGTTATTATTATTTTTACAATTTTTTTACATATATTTTTTATGTACGTTGTTCATTCGTTCATTTAAAGAGAAGATTCGATGTTGTTTTGGTTATTATGTTACGTAACAAATACAATCCCCGCTGCATTTCAAATGGCTGCTTTTGCCGGTTTCTAATGTTTTTCTTTTCAAAATTGAGGACATATTTTGTGGCGAATTGAAAATAGTCTCTCTCTCCCTATCTATCTATTTATCTATCTATCTGTTTATCTACCTATGTATCTGTCTATCTATCTATCTATCTATCTATCTATCTATCTATCTATCTATCTATCTCTCTTTATCTCTCTTTATCTCTCTTTATCTCTCTTTATCTCCCTATTTATTCTTCTCTCTCTCTTTCTCTCTCTCTCTCTCTTTCTCTCTATCTTTCCGGATTACCAAGGTAGATTTGCGCGGACTCTGAACAAGTTCAAAAATAAGCGAAAAATCGATCATATGCGTGTTAGAAGTTTCATTTGAAGGCAATGAGATTCTTTTAAAAAGCTGTCCATCTTTCGATTAACTGAACACTAATTGTTTGAAATTATGCGGTAACTTTACAAAATGGGATAATACCTTTGTTAGAAATCGAAAATACGAACTACAAGCAATCAATCAATCAATCAATCAATTAGCTTATAAAGCGCTATTTCCGCGATGTTCAACAGCGCTCCTCAATGAATTTTGAAAACAGATGGGTCTTGAGATCCGCTCTGAACTTCGCAAGCGATGGAGAAATAGTTAGAGAAGTAGGCAGAGAGTTCCAGAGAAAAGGACCAGAAAAAGCAAAAGCAGATTTGGCAAAAGAGTGTTTAACACGAGTTAAGAAAAAGCGAGAAGAAGAAGACGATCGTAAACCGGGGCGTTTAGGTTCAATTAATATATCTGATAAGTAAGTTATCGCCGAAAGTATAATATAATTTATAAAATAAATATATATAAATATAATTAGATTTTATAATTAGCATTATAAATAACGTATATATACGTGGGCTTGTAAATCTTATATATTTTTAGTTGAGAAATCAATATCGGCCTGGTTTTCCATACAGGTGTTTTTATGTTAAAACATGTTAATTAATTTTTACCTTGCTACCTGGATTCCTTTTAAAATGCGTTTAGAAAATAATTGTCATTAAGTTGTTTTATTGTGATTTTTCACGAAATTTTGAGTATTTTTATTATATATTTGATGTTTTTCCGATGACAATTTGCACTTTTATAACGCTAAAAGTTCATTCTAACCGAGTAAATTTGACATTTGTAGTTTTAAAAAATCGATTAAAAATTTCGGTTTTTCATATTTTTTTGCTTTTTGAATAAAAGTTTATTTTAACTGCCGGGTCTATAATCTATATTTATAATTATAATTTTGTTGGAAAAACGTGAAGATCTGTGAAAATTAAAACTATTTAAAGTTATTAAATTGAATTAATTGTTCGAAATATCACGAAAATGAGTTTACCAATGACGAAGGATGACCTTATGTTTACTTTGAAAATCATAATTTTGATCTTCTACGCCCAGGGTTTCATTTATTTAATTGAATTTGTTTTTTTAAACAATTAATTAAGTAAATGTTAATAATTCTTAATTGTTGTTTAAATTATTCTTCATTGATTTGTTCTATGTAAAAAAATATTATCAGTTAAAATTGTCATCTTGTTGAATAAACTTGATCGCATTAACATTGAATATTAAAAGATAATTTGAAAATGGTTGTTTATTTTTATGTGTAAAAGAAGGCTTTTTTGATAAGTTTAAGATTCAAAGCAATACTTAACCATCTCCAAATATATATTATAATTCATAATTTATTATAAATTATTCATAACTATAAATTATCATAATTTATCCATAATTATACTTTATTATCAGCATCCTGCCAGTCGTCCTATGATCCTTGCTCAGCGTTTGAGCAGCTGGAAAGGAATGCCGAAAGATTGAGACAGAGTGACCTGGAAATATCTTGCTACGTGCCTAGCACCTGCTTGGAACTGTCGTGTGATATTAAAAACGTACTTGGGTTATTTTTATGTTATTTATCTCTGCTTCCAAATTTCTCTGTGACACAATTTCTAACTATTGATTTCTGCCAACATTTTATAAATCTATAACATGTTGCACCTATTTTCTGGCAAAGAGAGCTTCAATTGCTTGCTGTTAGCGCTACATAAATTGTTATTATTATTATTATTAACTATTTGCTGATTGTAATGTTGTAGAATGTGATTTGTTTAAATGTACATAATATTCAGTACTTAAATCTAGAGAAGGAATTTTTATAAAGATAGTTTTATTGTTGAAAATGGTCATTTTATGATTCTAAGATTTAAGCCAGTGTTTGTTCATCTTTAGATAATATAATCAATTATAAACCCAAACGTGTGTCAACCAATCGTGGAGTATTTTTATCAATTCAAATTTTTTATGAGTCTAAATTACTGACAAACTAACAATGATTGGTTTATATCTCATAAACAGTTAAACTGGATTGGTTGAAATTATAATGTTATAACCGTTCTACCGAACGTATTAGATTCTAGCGTATTCCAGAATGTTTTAGTTACTGGAGCATTCTAGAGTATGCTAGAATCGGACCCTCTAGAAGAATCTAGAAACGACGCTTGCGAAGAGTATATAAGCGCACGTCGCAAGAAGATTAGCGATTAGTGAAATCCGTGATTAGTGAAATTCGTGATTTTGTTGCTCCGGTGTCGACTGTAACTACACATTCTCGTTGATCAACTTCTCTGTTCAGCCATAGGTCGTTTCGATTTCGATGTAGTCTGGAAACGTTAATTACGATACTGGGGGCGTCAATTCTACTAGCCAACCTCTGCCTCACAAAGTTGGCTTTTATTAGTATTCCATTCCATTCCTGTGTCACTTCTAACGAAGGGGCCGATCGTGACGCAGGATCATCTTCTCTTCTTTTGCGCCATCTTGTCGCGCAATTTCGGCAGTAGTTATCTTTTAGGCGGTGTTTACAATCACGACGTAGATGGCCTTTTTCACCACAAATCCAGCATTGGGGTACACCATGCTGTTGAGGTTCGCGTTTCACAACCACCTTCTGGCAAGGGCATTCTTCATGTACTTGGCGTAGACGTACGTCACTTTTTGATGCTTGCTTTGCCGATTCAAAAGTGAGACTGTGCGCAACGGCATCCTTGAGTTTTCGTTTATCTGACAAGAGAAGGGATTGCTTGAGTTCCGAATCACGAAGGGCTTTGATAAACGTATCCAGGGCAGTTTCGTCTCTATGCTCGGGGTCTGATGTCGGATACGACAGCAATGTCAACCGTTCGATATCTTGTGCCAGCTGCTGAATGGATTCACCAGATCGTTGCGTTCTGTTTCTAAGCTGAGACCGATAAATCTGTTTCATGTGTTCTTCACCATAACGTAAATCCAACGCGCTAACCAGAAATTCATAGTTGAAGTGGTTCTCCGCCGGAATCGTCTGAAGAACCTCTGCTGCTGAACCTCGCAGAGCCAGTATCAGTGCTGTTGCTCGTTCTTTTCCGTTCCAACAGTTACTAGTTGCCGCTGCTTCGAACTGGGTTTTATAAACGTTCCAGGACATCTCTCCGTCAAATGCTGGTACCTTCAAAGTTCTTCCGGATGCGTGATCTAACGGCATGGCCATTTTTTTGGATTGCTCCAATTCTCGCTTCAATTTGTCTATCTTGTGATCTACCTCAACGGTCTGACGATCAAGTTTCTGCTCGATCATTTCTATTCTTGTTGACTGTTCTTCAATCTGTTCTGCCACTTCCAATTTTACGTGTTTTAGCTGGTCCTTGATCTGTTTTAACTCTTCTGTCTGTCGTTCGGACTGTTCCTTGATCTGTTGTTTTAACTCTTTTGTCTGTCGTTCGGACTGTCGTTCGGACTGTACTTTGATCTGTTTTAACTCCTCTGTCTGTCGTTCGGACTGTTCCTTGATCTGTTGTTTTAACTCTTCTGCCTGTCGTTCGGACTATTGTTCGGACTGTTCTTTGATCTGTTGTTTTATTTCAGTTGACATACTAAGCAGAAGTTCCATCATTTAAGCGGTTGTAAACGTGCCTGTGCTAATTTCATAGTCTTCGTCAGCACCATCAAACTTGAATTCGTCTGGGTTCTTACCTTCGTCAATGAGAGCTTCTCTCAGACGTGCTACTAGTACTTCTTTGTTGCCACTTGTGACAAGGCTTCGTTTCTGTAGTTCTTCTCGTAGCTGAACTACGTTCAAACCACACAGTTTTGACATCGTGTTCTTTTTCTATGAGTAGTAACTCGCTAGTCGAAGATCCCACTTCTGACACCAATGTTATAATACTCGCTGTCGTAACCGATTTACGATGCGACGGGTTCAAATCTTCGATTGAATAAAATACTCCAAACAGTTATTAGTTATTAAACTTTATTTACAGAAGAAATCAACTAATCGTTTATTTCCAGCAAATTCAAACTAACGCAACAATTAACTTTTAAATTGTTCAAAATCTATCGCTATATATCAATCAAATCTATCAACGTCAACAAACAAATCAAATATCGCTTTAAATAATTCACAGAATCGCTATTCACAAAATCACGAATTTCACTAATCACGGATTTCACTAATCGCTAATCTCCTTGCGACGTGCGCTTATATACACTTCGCAAGCGTCGTTTCTAGATTCTTCAAGATGGTCTGATTCTAGCATATTCTAGAATGCTCCAGTCACTAGAACATTCTAGAATACGCTAGAATCTAATGCGTTCGGTAGCACGGTTATAACAATACTATGTGTTAGATTTATGAAGTTACCATCATTCATTCAATCAAACCACCAGAACCAATTTTACGGTGCATACGTCTTCATGTTCTTTCCGTGTTCGAATCCTCTGTCTTACAAACTGACTGGGCACGGTTTCGAATCTAGTGCTGCTATCAATCAAACTTATTTTCTGCAAGGTTCCAATAAATACTCTATAAATCTTCAAGGTACTTTTGTTTGGAATTTTGTAAACATTTTTTACGATTTTCGAGTTTAGATTCTCGAAATTAAATGTTAATTATTTTAATAATTCGAATATTTTTTGTTTATAAGTTTAAAAATCGTTTTTGGGTGAAATTAATTTTTTTGTTGTTGAAAATATTCAGGCAGTGGGTCAGTTAAGCAGCTGGTGGTCGAGTCAGCAATGATTGATGCCGACAGCGCATTCAGTTTGAAGGTGGCTTTGTTGTTGATGTCATTTTTGCAACTGCTGTTGTTGTTGATGATTATTTAGTTGTTGTCGTTGTTGTTGTTGATGATGATGATGATGATCCTGATGTTGAAAATCCCCAGCAACAAACAAACAATAACCAAAAATATAACACCAAAAAACATCTCAAACCACTACCATCATCATCAACAACAACAACAAAACCATCATCATCATCATCATTACCAACATCAACAACAACAAAATCATCATCATTACCATCATCAACAACAACAAAATTATCATCACCATCATCTACAACAACAAAATCATCATCATCACCATCATCTACAACAACAAAATCATCATCATTATCATCATTACCATCATCATCAACAACAAAATCATCATTATTATCATCATTACCATCATCAACAACAACAAAATAATCATCATTATCATCATTACCATCATCAACAACAACAAAATCATTACCATTATCAACAACAAAACAACGCAAAAACATTCCTTTCCCTAAGATGGAAATGGTACTCCGAAATAACACGGAAATAACTTTAATTCCCGAATCTCAACTGACTCTACCTCCCTGCTTGCATCCTCTGCCCTCCAACGCTCCTTACGGTACAACAACTGCGAGTAACGCATTTAATACTGACCAGGATCAAATTGTCAGAGTCAATACAAGTGGGTTCACAGACACACACAGACACACTCAAATACTCACACACACGCGCACACACGCATACACGGACACAAATACACAAACACACACGCATACACACACATACACGGACACAAACACACGCATACGCACTATTCATCACTTACCTTATTATGATGCCGTATGCTGTAATGCTGTATTTAAATTTACTTAGCAATACAAGTTAACTATAATAGCACTAAAGAGATTAGTAATGACATCAATAACAATAATAACGTTAATAAAAATAACAATAATAACAATAACAAAAGCAAAACAGCAACAACAACAATAACAACTACTACAACAACAACAACAATAACAACAGCATCAATGGGAACTCTTTTATTTTCAAAGCCAGGGTAATAAATGATTAAAATAATGAGATAATAATAATAACAACAACAACGACATCATCAACAATAACAACAACAAGAACCTTATTATCATCATCATCATCATCATCATATTTCGACGTCATATTTCTTTCAGCTAGAGCGTGCTCTCAGGATGTAGTTGGAACTTGCAGGAACAAAGAAATTTGCATCACCAATGACATCATCCTCAACAACAACAATACGAAAGCGGCTTTTTGTTATTGTTTTGATAACTTCCAACTGGATGGCCAGTACAGATGCACACAGCCCGTACCGCAGAAGAAAAATGGGATCTGTTAGTTGCGATGTTTTTTGTTGATGTTGTTGTTTATGTTGTTGTTGTTGTTGATGTTGTTGTTGTTTATGTTGTTGTTGATGATGTTGTTGTTTATGTTGTTGTTGTTGTTCATGTTGTTGTTGTTTATGTTGTTGTTTATGTTGTTGTTGTTTATGTTGTTGTTGTTGTGGATGTTGTTGTTGTTGTTGTTATCTTCATTTATTTATGTCGTTGTTGTTGTTTTTTACGTTGTTGTTGTTGTTTATGTTTATGCAGTTGTCGCTAATGTTGTTTTTTATTTATTTGTTTGTGGTTTAATTAATTAATTAATTATATAATTAATCGTCTAATTAATTTCACTATTATTTTGCCAATTCGAATTATAAAAAGTTTCCAAATCCAACAGCAATCCCGGCCATAGTGAGTGGAGCAGTAGTTACAGCTATCATATTGGTGGTCGTTGTAGTCCTGGTGGCAAAGCACGTGATCAAAAGAGGTCCCCGTGACCTCGGGTTCAACCCCTTAAACGATTCCAGCGTCGTTTTGGAAGATCCACCGATGATTAATGTGTGAATGATGTGGACGGGGGGGTATTTTGTGACTTTGTGCGAGACAAGTCTGAAGCGTGTGTTTGTGTGTGTGTTTTATTTGAAAAAGAAGTGTGTGTGTGTGTGGTGTGTTTGTCTGTCTGTGTGTGTGTGTGTGTGTGTGTGTGTGTGTGTGTGTGTGTGTGTGTGGCTTCAATCTTTTGAATTATTTAAATCTTGAATCTTGACCTATTTTTATATATATCGTATTGTATATATATGCGTGTGTGTGTATATGTATGTGTGTATGTATGTGTGTGTGTTTGTTTGTGTGTTCGTTTGTTGAATGTGTGTGTAAAAAATAACTTGAAGGTATTTCTTTTCATGCGGGAATCCTTCCATTAAAACTTCAACAGACTACTTACTCTGCAGTTATAATAGATCGTTAACATTATTAAAAAAACCCTTTTTTATAAACGTCTATTTATTTATTTTTAGCTGATAATTTTATTACTTTGTTATTAATTAATCAATTAATTAATTAACTAAATTTATATATATCTTCTTTTTTCTTTTGTATTTATTCGTTTCGTTTGCCTTGATGATTCTATCCATTTTCCTATTAATTAGAGGTCATTTTAGATTATATATATATATATTTTATTCAAATTTAATTAAAATTGACTAAATTTTAAAAAATAAAATAATTATCTTCAATTTTTTGGAAAAATTCTATTGTTATTGTGGGTAACTACAACAAAATTAGTAAAATGAAGCACGCATGGATGTTTTATTGAGTGTGTCTGAGCGTTTAAATGTGTGTTTGAGTGTGTGTTTGTGTGTGCGTGCGTGTGTGTGTGTTTCACTTTG